CAGGTATTAGCTGGGTTGCCTCCATAGGTGCTTCTATGGCTATAATGAATTCTGCGATGAAATATGTCAAAATTTGCCCTTTGATTGTGGTTTTGGGTTTGTATCTAATATCGAACTCACTGAACTCTATGACCCATTTAACCAGCCTTCCTGAAGATTTTGGTTTGTGTAACACCTACTTCATTGGTTGGTCTGTTGGGACCTCAATAATGTAAGCTTGGAAATATGGTCTGAGCCTTCTTGTTGCCGCAACCAAAGTTAGGACTAATTTTTTCATCTTTGGATATCTCTCCTTTGCCCCCCTCAGAGCTCTACTATAGTAGTAAATTGGTTGTTGAGTTCTGTCTTACTCTCTGACTAGTACTGCGCTGGTTGAGAAATCCAAAACAACTAAGTATAGGGTGAGCATTTCTCCCTCCAAAGGACTCCTCAAAACGGGGGAGTGAGCTCAGAAAATATTTAAGGGCTCTAAATACTTCTTCGCATTGGGTATCCCATTGGAACACTTTTTTAAGGTTTGGAAGAAGGACTAGCACTTGTCGCTTGAATTGGAGACAAAACGACTTAGGGCTGCTATCCTTCCTATTAAGCATTGGACCTCCCCTCGTGTTTGAAGGTGGTTACATGTCTATCACTGCTTTGACCTTTTCTGGGCTTGCTTCGATTCCCCTGCTGTTAACTATGAAACCCAAGAACTTCCCAGTAAAGACCCCAAAGGCACATTTGGTGGGATTGAGCTTCATCTGGTATTCCTTGAGGACTTGGAAAGATTCTTCAAGGTGCGCAATGTGGAGCTCAACTTTCAATGACTTCACCAGCATGTCATCGATGTACACCTCCATTGATGTTCTAATTTATTTTTGGAACATTTGATTTACCAAATGCTAGTAAGTAGCTACAACATTCTTTAGTCCAAATGGCATGACCTGGTAATAGTATGTCCCTTGCTCAGTTATGAAGGAGGTTTTCTCCTGGTCACTAGGGTCCATTCTGATTTGATTACACCCAGTAAAAGCATCCATAAAACTAAAGAGTTCATGCCTAGTTGTGACATCCACAATCAGGTCAATCCGAGGTAGGGGAAGCTATTCTTGGGGTAAGCTCAGTTTATGTCGGTGAAATCGATACAAAGGCACCACTTGTCATTGGACTTCCTGACAAGTACCAAATTTGCTAGCCAGGTTGGGTAGTCCACCTCTTCGATGGCTTTGGCGTGACAAAGTTTGTTGACCTCCACAATGATCACTTTTTGGCATTCAATGACAAAACTCCTTCGTTTCTGTTTGATGGGCTTGAAGGTCGAATTCACATTGCGCTTGTGCGTGATGACTGAGGGGTCAATTCCTTGCTTATCCTCTTGTTTCCAGGCAAACACCTCCATATTCCTTTTGAGGAATTGAATTAGGAGGTCTTTAACTTCCTTGTTCAGCTTAGATCCTATGTATACCAGGTGTTCTGGCTCCTCGTCAAGTTGAATAGGCTCCAGCTCTTCTGAGGGCATTGGCCTGGTCTTCAGCTCGTCCCTCGTATCTTGTTCGTCCAACTAGATAGCTTTAATCTCTTTCATTCTCATTGATGCCACGTAGCACTCTCTTGCTACTCACTAGTCTCCTCTGCCTGCCCCTACGCCATTTTCAGTGGAGAATTTTACAACTAGGTGATAAGCAAATAGAATAGCCTTCATGGCATTGAGGGAAGGTCTTCCTAGCACGACATTGTATGCTAAGGAAACGTCAACTACTAGGAACCTTACATTAGTAGTAAATTAGCAAGGAGGAACTCCCATAATGAGCATGAGTTAGACTGAACCCAAGAGTAGCATCATTTCCCCTGAAAATCCCAGTAGGTGAGTCCTTACTGACTCAAGTTTGTCTCGGCTTATATTCATCTTGTCGAAGGCAGATGCGAAGATGATGTCTGCAGAGCTCCCATTATCAATCAAGACTCGATGGATGGTTCTGTTGGCAATGATGACCTTTACCACCAAGGGATCATTGTGGGGTGCTAGAAACCTTCCAAGTCTGCGTCTAAGAAATTGATGTCTATGTTCAGCCGAGGTGCCTTGGTTACAGTTTGCACCTCTAATACCTCCTCAGCCTTGACCTTACGCATGTGGGCTTTTCAGGTTGAGCTAGTTTCCCTTCTGCCGACAAATCCTCCTGATATTACCCTGATCTCCCCTAGGGATTGTTGGTGTTGTGATGGATGCTGCTGTTGAGGTGCCAGAGGTGGGTGAGCCTCGTTCTGATTATCTTACGCCACATAATGGCACAGTTGCTCCCGCTGAATCAAGAACTCAATCTCTTTCTTCAATTGGATGCAGGCATCGGTGAGGTGGCCATAGTCTCTATGATACTTGCAGTATTTCGTTACATCCCTCTTCGCAGGGTCTGCCTTCATCCGAGGTGGCCACCTCAGAAATTTTTCATTCCGCACTTTATAAAGGATTTGGGATATGACAGTCGTGAGTGGAGTAAGTTGCTAAGGTGCGAACCTTGGCTACAACTCTGGCTGCGGAAGACCTAGGCGGTCCCTGACATCTCCCCTCCTTTTCGGTGAACAAGTCTTTGTCTCGAGTTCTTTTTTTCCTGGGACTTTGATCCCTCTTCTTTTCCTCCTTCTCTTTTCCCTTGTGCGTTGATAGATTTCCTGTCTTGGAAAGAAGAGCTTCTTCACCATTGATGTACTTGTCCGCCTTGACAAGTACCTCTGTCATACTGGCTTGCGAATTTTTGGATATGGAAAACATCAAATCCTTTGACTAAACTCCCAGACTAGCAATGAAGGCTGTAATGACAAATTTTTCTTTAGGTATGTCTACTTTCAATGATTCTGAATTTAACCTTTGAACATAATTATGTAGGTTTTCATTGGGTCCTTGTTTTACATTTAGCAAATAATAACTCGATTTTCAGTAGGTCCGAGCTCCTATGAAGTGTGAAACGAAAGATATGGAAAAGGCTCGGTATCATACGGAATCCTGTTATCCATGAAGCTTCATTTGATTTTTGTACGTGTTGAGGTGGTCTATGGGATCTCTTGTGCCATTGAAGATCTCCATTTGGAGCATCCTGAACTTTGGAGGGAGAGGAAAGCGCAATACTTTCGCAGTAAAAGGGGAGTCAGTCTGTTGTACTAGAGCATCCATGGTTACTGAAGTTTTGTCTCTTATAGCCTTCTTTATGTGGCTGAGCTCCTACTGAATATCTTTGAAACACTACTCCCAATATTATTCTCTTCTTTCCTGTTGGAATGGGGGAAGTTCATCTTTATGAATTCCCCTATTCTGACTTTGCAACTCTTCATAATCTTTATTCCTAGGGGCTCGAGGGTCATTGCCCATGGTTTGGCTGCGCTATTCTCCTTCAATAATGTTTCGTAAGGGGTTGGCTTGGTGATGTTCCCCCTATGGGGGATCATCGCAAGGATTCTCCTACTGTCTTCCGCTAGTGGCTTCTTGCTGGTTTTGAAATCGTGGGGGGATTCATTTGACTTCTGCTCATGTTGCGTGTAGAAACCATCAATTACTGAAAGAAAATCAATATATTTGTAAAAAGAAGAATCGTTCCCATAGACAGCGTCAACTGATGATTTTTTTAACACGACTAAGCAATGGTATGAGTGTAAGGTGCATTAAATAGCTATATGCAACTCTATCTGAGCTCCAAGGCTTAGGAGAATAGGATTTTGGAGTTAAATGACTGATCATATATAGTGTTTATAGTGGTTCACCAGCCTAGGAGCTCAGTTATTCCACTTTTAAGGAAGTCTCTTGCTGCTGAATATATATTAATCGCTATAGAGTTTACAGAGAGAATATTATTGTTGCTATAATGGCTTGTTGTCTTTCTTTCGAGGGCTCTGCCCCTTATTTATTATAGCTATTCCTCGGCCTAGCTAGATTAGGGGCGAGATCCCTACCTTTCCCTTATAACATTTACCTTGATTGCGCAACAGCTGTAGTGGATGTTGGGGTGATTACTAGATTTGTGTCCGTTGCGTAACAGTCCCCCCAAGGAGGGGTACTCGGTGAAATACAACTGTCATTTACATTGACTTCCTTGACACGTGGATACAGGTACATGAGGCCTGAAGTCGAGGCCTGTAAATAATACGAATGAGCTGAACTCCCTACCTGAATGGTATAACCTGAATTACCGATCTAAACCTTAGGTATTTTGTAGGTATCATTAGCCACAACTTTCACATAATAAAATAGAATGAGGAAAACACTGAAACAAGCAATTCTTTAACGGAAAAAGTTTTTTTTTTGGTTTGGGGGGGGGGGGGGGGGGGGGGGGTGTTACTGCAGATGCTTGTGTCACCTAAAATGATCTCAAACAAATCCACCCGGTTATTAATCATATCGTGTAGAGTTTGACATGCACAATTCATAAACCAAGTAGAACATCTATCTCAACCAAACCATCAATCGATAAGCTTCCGTACATTAAAAATTCACTCAGATGCTTACAAAATCAAATAACAAATTTCCAATCGTACAAGGATTTATTCAATACTTTACCAAATAATGGGAAAAAAAAACTACAAAAATATTCTTCTTTTTATACCCACTAATTGCATTTGTCTTATTGTAACCAAGTTATTCGTTATAATAAGTCATGTCATTTTCGAATTCATGTCAACAATGTGTTTGTCAACATTTCATGTCAAAAATTGCAAACCCTATTTTTTTGCCATATCAAAGAAGAACGCATCATAGAGTAAAGAGAGCCACTAGAATTTTGTTTTGCTGCACAGGGGCTCAAGAACACAAACACACATTCTCCAGCGCAAACTAAATAGTACTCAGCAATGTTCATTGGTTGGATGAACCAAATCCACAGGCGTAATTTTTGCAATTTAACATCAAATTGAAGACTGTTAAGGAATCCCAGTACCAACGGGCTCTTGAGGTCAACGGTTTAAGCCCTCTCCCCCCTCCCCCTCCCCCTCCCCCTCCCCCCAAAAAAAAAAAAGAATAACGGGAGCTTATTGTTCTAAATTGACTATAGCCATCATAAGATGGAAAAATAATTTGAAAAGTTAACACGAATTCGGAAACTCAAAGAACCGAAAAGTATATATATATACAAGTGAAGCTATTACTGTACAATGGCTATCATAAGAGCATTTAGGTGTGAAGGACTCACTTACAAAAAATGGTGAAAGAACTCCAAGCGGTCAAGCTTGACAAACCTCAGCAGGAGGAAGTTGGAAAAGAAGGGGAAACAGGGAAAACTTTCTCCAGAAACTCAATGAAACGTCTCGAGTAAAGCTTGGGTTCAACAGCAGAAATTGACATTGGATCAGACTGAACCGATTTATATGCATGCTCCATTTTCTTTTTCAAGTTGTATCCCTGCAATATATCAATTATGCCAAGATAGAGAACAACATCATAAACCTCAAAAAGTTCGACTTTGGCTGAACCAGTCTCATTCTGCAGAAGCTTGCAATTTGCCTGAGCTGGCATGTTCACACCTAATTGCACCCGTAACCTAAAAAAAATTGCAAACAACTGGAATTGAGTGAAGTCTGCTTTGCCAGCAAACCCATCGGTTTAACACTACCTCCTGTAAGAAACATTTAAATACAGCGCGCAAGTTTTATGACAAGAGTGAAAGATAAATGCTGATGTAGTTATACCGATGTAAAAGAAGAAAGAAAGAAAAAAAAATGGCAAAAAGAAGTTAAGAGCAAATAAGGCAAAACAGGAGAGGACAAGCCATGAGATCCAAACACCGAGACTTGGTTTACGAGAGGAGGCTCATCTGTATATACATGATAACACTTTCAAATGTTGACTTGGTTCTTCTGACAATCGGGTTCAGTGGTGACAGGCAATAGAGTCGAATAATGAACTGCACTTCTCAGATAGGGCAATTTGACATATGCTTCAAAAGTAATGTATCATGAGTGCTTTTACGTCAGGCGAATTCCAAAAGGTTGGGGTGGTCATTCAACAGACTCGGAAGCCAGAAATAACGTAGTTGAAGCAACTGGACTCTTCTACTAGCAGATTGTCATTCTATCAGCCTGGTAAGGTCAAAATAAATAAAAGCTACCTTGCAGTACCAGGCAGCAGAAGATCTACCTCCTTGTCACCTACAGAACATGCCCTCAAAGTATTTCCTCTAATATGAGGACCTGGTGCAGTGCTCACAAAACTAGGCTCATGGGTTAGTAGAACCAGACCCTTTGGAGGAATCAAAAACTCCCCTTGAGAAATTGCACCTAGAAACAGAACACAAGCTGCCAATTAATAACACTTTGATATGAAAAATACAGAAAATGCAAATCCATTTTGTTATTGTAATCTGATGGCAGTGATAGGATTTAGATGCCAACTTGATCTCTAAGACTGTTTATAGATTTAGAATATAATACTTTATATGTCCTTTCTCTTTGTCATAAATGAAGTTTTATGGTCTTTCATTGCTAAAATTTTTCAGTAAATGTGACTGAAGCATTGGCTAATATTGTTCAATCCATCTCGAATCCCAGAGATTTATCTAGGTGGTTGCATCTGTTATGTAAGGAGAGGGGATTGCATGTGTCTCTAAGGAATAGTTGGGCGGTCAAAGAGACCTAAATACTTTTTAGGAAAAAAAGGCTGCAAACTGGGGAATAGCTTATTGATAGTTCCTCGTGGTAAAACTACAGCTAATATGTGAAAAATGTTCATACATGAAGTTATATTTACCTTCCATAGCAGGTATACTTTCAGACTTGTGCAGCGAGTCAGGAGGTTCCAACAGGGCCTTCAGATGCTCAGGAGCTCTAAAATGTAACCCCAGCAGAAGGCTATAGTCAATTATTTGTTGAGATTCTAAGAACTTGCAGTCTAGAGATAGTTGTCTGCAAAAAAGAAAAGGCAAAAGTAATTCTGCTAATCATCAGAATGTGGATCACATGGTAAATGACATGGAATGTGATCAGATTTTCGCATTCCTACTTGGCTATATGTCAGAAGTATATGAACTGTGGAGAGACAGAGAGAGAGAGAGAGAATAAGAAGGAGGCATTGGTGCACAGACAAGCCAATTTGACCTGAGATATATTTATAAGTGAAAAATAAAGAATGCATCCAATTCTGACAAGAAATTTAGGTGTAACATTATTTCAGAGACTCTAAAAATCTCATCATCATAGATTGAAGGCTAAATTATTTGGCTGCGGGACAAAGTTTTCAAGTAGGTTGAATCAGTCACATCACATGCAATTTCTTGCTGTCGAACTGAATACTCTAGTTTTTAAGTTGTGAAACTACAACTATGAAATTACGCAGTTTCCCTTGATTCTGATATTCGAGCTCATATGCAAAATTGTACTCAACCTGAGATGCTTTAATGTGTGTCATCATTGCAGGTATGTTGGCCTGGAGTAAAATTATCAGAAAAGTAATAAAATTAATAGGGTCGTTTCACAGGCCACTAAAGCAAGAACTTGAACAGTCTAATGATCTAAAATGGAAGAGTATTAGTTCTACTAAACAAAGGACACTTCTCGAATATTCTGCAAAAGGATGTCAGAGAAGTGCCAGTGTTCACGTGGATGGCTTCTTCATAGGAGAATCTATGCTGCTTAGTCACACAGACTGGAATCTGAATCAGGAGGAGGATGGAAAAGGAAGTAGACCAAGGGAAGCTTCAGGAAGTGGCACTGAATCTTATTACTACATAATAATAGTCCAGTAAATACAGAATTGCATGGCTTGATTATATTCTGTTCTCTTGTAAATAGGTGTATCTATACTGAACCTTTCAACATTCTTCACTATAGCATTGGAGTATCCATGCTGCCTAGTCACAGAGTTGGAAATCCAAATCAGGAGAACGATGAAAAAGGAAGTAGAAACTGGGAAGCTTGGAGAAGTGCTGAATCTTGTTAGTACATAATCTAGTCCAGCAAATACAGAATTGCATGGCTTGATTGTGTTCTTTTCTCTTTCAAATAAGTGTGTCTGAACCTTTCAAGTTTCAACATTCTTCACTAAATCATTACTACTAATTTTGGTATTTATCCATAATCAGGAATGAAAATCTGAATTGCAAGGGCATTTCTGATACAGTCCAAAAAGAGGAACTTACTTAAAAAGTGACTCCCGCAATAACCAGTCCATATGAAATTCATAAGACAAATCAAGATCTTTCAATGTTGTACCCTCATGAATCTTATCTGGATATGTAAATCTCCCATATGTTGAACCCTTCAGATCATAACGTCGATGAATATGCAATTCAGTGCAGAACATATTCCCCATTACCACAAAGCGTACCTGAAAAGGAAATGAACAGGATGAATCTGTCCTAATCACAGGTATACCAGTAGCAGTAAAGAAAACGAGGACAATATGACTGGTAGCCCGGTTACCTCTTTCCCATGTTTCAACGTTATCCGGTGGAGGCCAAAAAATTTTGTAATGAGAGTGTTTTCATGCTCTTTCACATGATTGTAGTAGCTAGGCAGCATCGTGAGTAGAACCTGCACAAAGCATCTTTCAGGTTCTAGGCAAAGCGATGAATTTTCCAGCTCATTCTCTATTTTCTTATAAAGTCTTAGAAGTAAAATACACTATAGTAAGTTCACGTCCCATGATAAACAATGGTGTGCATTTACGACACCGCAAAGTGGTTAAATACTGAAAACTTTATTCTGGATCAGGAAAAAAATAAAAAAGCATTACTAGGACAGTTCATTGCTTCTGTAATTAGTGGAATTACTGGAGGACCATAATAACCACCAAAATGACAAAAACGAACAAAGTGAGCCTAGTTGACCGAAATAAAATTTACTTAGCCATTACACCCCTAATATCCCAAAAAATGGTGTAAATTCAATTCATAATTGTCAGCCTTTAAATTAACCATAGCTGTTTAGCTTCATCCCTCATCCTCGAATTGCCCACACTAAGCCAGAGAAGGACACTGGCTTCCAAACATGTAATCTATATTACAACCTCAATAGGCCTCTTCGTTATTTTTCAGTAACCTCATGTAAAAGCCATTACATACTACAGTTTAGAAAGTGAACAAATGGTGTCATGTCATCACATGGGAAGCTCCATTATGGGATTCTAGAAAACTCAAAATGCGTTAACCTTGACACGAAATGGCACCTGTAAAGCTCTTGGTGCTAGTTGTGGGAATAAGTGTTCCTGATTTGTATTAACAAAAGGTTAACCCATCTTCAATCACCGCCCCAACTGTTTTCAAGTCTAACGCGCTCATAAGGTCCAATCCCATTTCCTCTCCCACTGATGCATCCAAGTTGGCCAGGAGAAATGGCAAATTGTTAGTTGGACAAAAGGCTGGGAAGAACTCAATTTCACAAAGAGACTTCAACTCATCAAACTTCATGTGAATTAGCAAAACACTAAGGTTCCACTACTTAATGGAAAATATTTAAGGGATTAGCAGAATAATTAAAGAATTCACTAAAATAAGTAATTAAGTTATCATGCCAGGTTATCATATATACTTAGTTAATAGTTTTGACAAAAAAAATTCAGTGGAATTGTTTCTCTTTTTTCAAACCTTCAGCTCAGATCTTCTTAAAGTCTTGATTACAAATCTGTCATCGTGAGAAAGATAGAAGAAGCTGCCACTTTTCCCTGTAGAAGAAAGCTCCCTCAGACCATCATCACCACAGATAGACATCATATACTCAGCAGCATCCAACTTGAACATCTCTCTCAAATTCCTGAAAATGAAATTCCATGCATACATAGGAATCAACCAATGACTACAACTACATCCAAAACATAAAGCCGGAAACATAGATATCTTGATGTTCACTAAAACAGATGATCCTTATTTTCTGTTTTTGTTTTTTTTTTTTTGGGTGGGGGGTGAATAGGGCCACTGTAAAATTTCTCTTATTTAGCTCAGAGTTGGGTCCATTGCTTCTTTTTTCTCAAATTCAAGCTAAGGTCATTCTAGTTTTGCTCTAACATTAGCATGTATAATCAAGTTGTAAAATCTATAAGGAATATATCAAAAACCTAAGTCTGTTCCTTGAAGTGCAGAGGCAGAACTACAGAAGTTGGTCAACCAAGTCCAATGCTGGTCGACTTGCTCCAGACAGTGAACCTATATTTTGAATATACCACAAAACCTACGTCTGTTCTTTGAAGTGCAGAGGCAGAACTCCAGTTCCACAGAAGCTGGTCAACCAAGTCCAATGTTGGTCGACTGGCTCCAGACAGTGAACCTATATTTTAGGTTTATTGCTCTCTTTTGTTCCAGATTCTATTCCATTCAATCCTAACAGACACCAAACTCAAGTGTGTGCATAGAAAAATGTTATACAACATGTATCAAGTATGATGGCAATTCAATTCACAAAAACTTGATCAATTAAGCTCAGAATCATAAATACTCAATTTCAAGTTCCAACAAATAGATCATCATACATAGTTGATTTATATTAATCAAAACATGTTTCACAATAGATAATCAATATAGAACATGCAACACGCGATATATAGTGGTTCAGCTAACACTTTAGCCTATATCCACTCTTCCACCACCTAGGTGGGATCACTCCACTATAGGGGGTTCTCCGGTAAACCCAACAACCGTGTGTATTAAATGCAAGAAAATCCACTAGCTAACCCGGGTAGTCCTTGAGGATTTGGTGCAATTTTTCCTAGGTTTCCCTACAACCTACCTAAAAGCTACTTTATCTAGGATTTTCAAAAGTTTCCTATGATCCACCAACCGACCTAACTAAGCTCTCCAAAGGAACATAATTAGTGTTTGGTGAAGGTTTTCTATGGCGTACGCTGCGTACCTACAATGGGTCTCCACAACCTCAAGCTCTATACTTAATGTCACACCACTTGGGACTTGCAAGTTCCCTCTGGAGTAATGCCTCTAAGCTAAGTGCAAAGCATGCAAGAGTATTTCCAATACACAAATTAAATTAGAACACACTTGCACTAATGAGAAACATTGGCCAGCGATGTGCTTTTCACAATGACGCCAAGCTCTTTGGTGGAGGGGCAAAATGGTCTATTTGCTCCTTCTCTCTCATAAGTCTTCAATATGGTGTATGAGAGGGATGGACCCTAAAATCCATCACCCTTCCATTGGTGAAGAAGAAAGGTATTAATAAGGGTGGATTCAATGGCTAGCTCCATCCTCACACAGCTAGCTTTTGAATCTGCCAAACCTGGTCGACCAACATCTGGGGCTGGGCAACGAGCCCTGTTCCAAAAGCCAGCAGCCTAAAACCAACTCTGAGAACAAGCAAAGTCGATCGTAGGAAAATGTGCCCAGCAAACAAATGCGACCTAATTTAACTAGCATGACTTCTGACTTCCTATGTGCTTGAAGTCTTCCAAAAAGACAAAGTTATCCTCTTTCTTTTTTGTAATCACCTGAGAAGCTCAAAGTCTTAGGCTCATATCCGTAACTCTTTTGCATGATATCTTCGGCATAATAGCACCTAAAGTTACTGTACACTTTATGAAATTGTCAGTATCTGGTCCTAGACCTAACATGTACATCACACCCAAACAACAAAGAAAAGATGCATTTCCTTGGAAAAAAGTATGTCATGTGGACAAGGCCAATGCTAAAAGTTCCAATAAAAAGCAATGCACAATTATGGTGTGAACACAAAAGGACCCCAAGTCTGATGTATTTTCTCATACATATCTTACCAAGACATCCATTAACGGTCATGGATGGAAAGAAAGGACGGTGTGATAAAGAAAGAAGAGATTTCTCCGTAAAGTAAAGGGAAAAGAACTTGCATAAAATAACCAAAAAAGGATTGATGTTAGCAAGCAAACACATCAAGAGTTGAAAGAATAGAAGAATGAACATCTATCTCCATACAAAATTTGTGCACATTTTTGTTTTCTTTGACTTTTTTGTTTTAATGTAGTTATTATTACTTCTTTTGGTGATTCACATGCAACTTGTTCACTTTTAGGAGAAGCATGAAGGAAAGACCGAAAATAATAGGAGTCTTCCCTATCATTCAACAGACTGCAAATTTCAAAATAAATGCTATTTCTAAGTTTCCAAAATTCCAACACTCAAAATAATTCTAAAAAAGGCATTTTTCCAAACTTTGGTAATTATAATTCCAAAATTACTCCATAAGTTTCAGATAAAAACCACAAAGCTCATGTCTCTTATTATGGGCATCATTAAATGACAATCATCTTACATTTAGAGCATTCAAAAATAACCTCATAGATGATAATGTGAAATAGTTGCTTGATTGTCACAACTCACAAGAGATACCCATTAATCATTAGACAACTCATCTCCTGAAAGAGTGTTATCCACAGCACCCACGCTCTATATGCCTGGTAGCTTAATAATTATTTAATTTTAAAAGCAGTGTTACTGCTTCTTCGCCCTCCATTACACCTTTAATTTAATCCACAAAGGTAGTACTAACATACAGGCCTCCCTCTACAGGCTAAACGAGTATCTTGTGTAGTAGGATGACATTATCTTCAGTGGAATCTTTGGCACACCAGAACATTTAGATACTTCAAGAAAAGCTACTTTGTTACCATAAGAAATTGTTGTCTCCAAGATGGAGAAGCTCTTGAGAGATTGCCCATGGACAGTGCCAAGGATTGAACCAAAAAAAAAAACATGCTTTGTGATCTTATATAACAGGATGGCAGCAAAAATAACTAGAAGGCTGCAAAATCAAATACGAGGATTCCAGGGGAAACCAAAGGTCTGTATCATTATGTATGCAGTAGCAAACGTTGTGGTCACTCACATAACCCACTTGAGTTATGAATAGTTATGCCCATCTTTTGTCTAGAGAATGATGGATCAAAAAGACTTAGTTACTTGTTGAATATTCTACAGAGAAAAGCATGACAACAGATCTTGATATTAAGATGCTATGGACTTGCAGTATGACAAAAGTGCAGCCACCAATCTACACAGTTCACAACGATAGAATTTGGGATATTGCACTCTTTAATGGGAACAGTAGACCAGACAAATCTGTGCTCCATGAATGAAAACAAAATCAATTGACAGATGATTTTTGCAAAAAGAAAAAAAATTGTTGTTACTCCATAGTGGTGTCAGGAAAGTTGGTTATGCAATGCTAATTACATAAGGTTAGAGTGAGAGTCCTAGTTATCACAATGATACCGTCCCTATATTTTTCTTTTTCCAAATTACAATGAATTTACCATCTTAAGGGGGGAAAGTCTAAATTAAACCTCCAATTCTTTGCAAAAAAATTCTAAAAGCATATCTCAAATTTCTAAAGTGAAAGAACAGAGAAATAAAGTTAAGGTTCAAGCCACAGAAATTGTTTCAGTAGGAATATCTGAATTTGAACGATCAGTAAAACACAACATATGTTTCTGAAGTAGGCTTGATCCAACTCAAATATCAAACTTTCATCAATTTACACATAATAGAAAACAAAATCCTAGACCACCGCTTATACCCATGTGTACCAGTCACGAGATTACTAAATACCTGAAGACCATGGGACAGTAGTCCTTCCAATAAAAATTTATAGAATGATGTGAAGGTGTAAACCGGGAACCTTTTCTAGGAAAATACATTCTTATTCTAGCTTGGTCTCCAAAATCAGAAGATCTCACTTCACGCATAGGAACTGGTGTGATCTTGCCAACATTGTACCTGCGAGCTTCAAATGAGATGTTCAACTAAGATATTCTTGCATTAACTAAACCATGTAAAGGGGTAGGGACATACTGCCATTTTGCTTAATGTGATTACCTGATACCAATTTGCAGATTAAGCATTAGGTAGTAGCTCTTTTGAACTTTAAAACTGTGCCTGAAAGACCTTTGTTTTACTTCTTTTGCATGAAACTTACTCAATTGTTTACTTTTGTGTGATAGTCTGGTAATATTAATAATCTTCTCTTTGACCAAAACTCCTTGTATATATTCCCTTTCATAGGCTACAACACTATTATCCTGCATCTCATGTTGACCATCATCTGACGTGTGAGATAACATGCATGGAGTGTCGCAAGATGAAATCTCTCGAGTGGAATCACAGAGGCTCCAATCTTCGTCTAGGGATGTAGTCATATGCAATATTCGACCTAAACCTCTTAAGAATCCATTAATAGAGATCCTCTCAGAAATACTACGGCGAAAGCTAGGTCTGACAGACACCTCTGAATTCAGTGAGGAACTATGAGACAGCACCCCTTTACTCTTGTTTTCATTTCTGCCAATGTTGAATCTCATTGACAGAGATAAATGTTTACTTCCAGTAGGATAAAACGTTCCTTGTCCATCCTTTAGCCCCTTAGTCCATGTCCCAAAATAATAACATCCATCTGCAAACCTGTAAAAGCCTGATCCACATCTTAATCCATTATCCCAAAAACCATCGAATAGATCGCCATTCGTCCATTTCATAACTCCTCTACCACACATTTTCCCCGCTTTCCAATTCCCAATATACATGTTTCCATTACTCCAAGTATACCTACCACTGCCTTCATGCACTCCCTCTTTCCACAAACCATCATAAATATCAGAATTCTGATACTGCTTTCTTCCCAGACCATGCTGAATGTTCATCCTCCAGGAGCCACTGTATACAGACCCATCAGAACCGTTGAAGGTTCCCAAACCATGAAAGTAGCCTCCTGATAAATCACCCACATATGTTGCTCCTGTTGACCAAAATATCTGTCCTTTCCCAGTCATTTTTCCTTCTTCCCAGTCACCCTCATAAATTGTTCCATCTGACCATGTATATTTACCCTCTCCATCTGGAAGCATGCCCTTGATTTTACCAAGATAGACATCTCCATTTGGGAAGACCTTCTTAGAAATCCTGAATACATATCTGTATAATATCAATAGAATGAATTTTCAAGAATGCAAACTACCTGCATTCTAGACCAAAAAAAAAAGATAGCGGAGGCTGAAAAATGAAAATACCGTTCCCTAGTCTCCATAACCAGTGACTGATTGCTGATTCAACCGTCCTGAATTACAGTCAATAAACTCAGGACAGAGTCTTCTTTCATGACCTAAAGAAAACCATGGTTTCAAGAGTGACACTTTGAACAATCAAATCATCATCTCAGCAATAGAAAAAATGAGGCAAGTTTAAAACTAAATAACTAATACAGTAATAAAATTCCAACATTTATTTGCGCTACCATGTATCACCACAAAAGAAAATGATCTCCTACTCTTTTGCCCCATTTGTTGGGGGAGGAGGGGAAGAGAGGGGGGTGGGGGTTGAGGATGTAACTTGGGGAATTTGGTATTTCGCAGAAATCATGGCTGCCAATCTGCTATATAACAGCTGCATATAGTGCATTTATGATAATCCAACATAGTTGCAATAAACAGTTGACATTGTTGCCAATTCTGTTTTCAGGTTATTTGTTGTCTTTTATCTATTAATTTATTTGAGGACATGAAAAGTTTCTTTACCATGCAATGAAGTTAAGAAAACAGCCCTAAAAGCTGCTACTTTTGCGGTTTTAGCTGTAGCCTAGCATGCAATAACTTCACACAATTTGTTCATAAATACATTTTACTTTCACCACTAATTGCAACTATTTACCAATCACTTCTAGAAAAATATATCCATGCAAAAAAGAAAAAAAAAATCACCATCCATGCACAGCTTTTCGCTTGCAACTCAGAGACTTCGAAGGGAACCAGTTAATATTTTCCAAAAGAAATTCTTAATTATAGAAAGATCGCTTTCTACTTAAATTTCGTATGACTGGTACACAAGGAAAAACAATAATAAGAAGAAAATAATAAAACTTGGGCATATCCTATTCAGGTCAGCTGTCTACAGCAATTATTACTGAGTTATTTGTTGTATGAGAATGGAACCAACGACTCTAAGATAAGGATAAAGATGAAGTCACATGCATCAAATTGAGAAAGTTTCATATAAAAACAGTGAAATAGAGTGATCAGGTAGTGAAATTTACATTTGAGATGAGAATTTCACAACCATAACAAAAAACTTCCATTCCGACACTTCCATCACAAAAAACTTATCCAAATTTTTAAATGCAAAACTAGTCTCACAACCTCTATTGACAATGATCCAATCCAAGACTTAAATGTGCAATGAACAAATTTCATAACCAAGCTCTACACATTTATTCACCAACACAATAAACTGATATACAACTATAGCATTGAATAGTGATCTTCAAGCTACGGTCATCTCAATTCACAAAATCAATCAACTCTAGTGAACAATCCTTGCACAATCTGCAACAAGTTAAACGCTATCATTTCCACATAGAATCACAGCATACTTTGTCAAGATGTTTATTCGATTTTCTTTCAAATAAATTGAAGAATCGATGGTAACAATATACAAAACTGAAGATTCAAACAATTTTCTCTTACCTGCGGCGGATTTTACGAACAATATCGAATCGATCGCCGAATTGACTGAGCAAAAACCCTAAAAAAATACAGCAACAGAGCAACAGAAATGGATTGAAGGAGCGAAGATAATGGCGTTGATATCACTGGCCTTGAATCGACACTTCAACTCACTTTATCTCTCTTAAAAAAAACTCACTTTCTCTCTTTAAAACTCTGCTTCTGTTACTTGTATCTGTACCATTTCCCCTTCATGAAATTCCGTTCTTCAAACACTGACCTGGAAAAAAAGACATTGTGCAAATTGTTCCATCTCGAGGGGACACGTGGCAAGCATGCAAGTGGTGGGTTCCACGTTAGTTGTGGCCTTTGTGATTTGTGCTTCGATGATATGTTGAGCGGTTTGGGAATGAGGGGGCCGTACGATGTGGGGCGTACTCTGACTTTAACGGTTGATGTAGGAATGGTGTATCTCGAGTGTATGGTACCGCGAAGTAGGTGATTGTTTTAGCGCTAAACTACACCCCACGTAAAGCATATGTGTGAGTGTGGTGTGCAGGAAAACTGTTATTCTCTGTTCGAATTATGCGTCTAACGTGTTAAGTTAAATAGTTATTAAAAGAATGATGGATGAAAAATATGTAAATTTATATATAATCTGTTTAATAAACGGATGAAAAAATTCAATACGAACACAAACTTTTTAAACATGTTAGACGGGTCAGTCCGTTTATCACCCAAACTTATTAAAATCTCATTCAATTCTGTGTTAATTCGTATTGATTAATCGTATCATGTCAAATTTTAATTGACATAATTCGAATGCACATCTCACCATGATGCGGATTCTTAAGTTCTCTATGTCATCGTCACGTGGGATAAAATACGTATTAAATAAATACGTAAATGACCCCACATAAATTAATAAATGCCTCTTTGTGTAATATAATTACTATTTACTCTCCATTTATTTAAGTTAGTAATTATTCACATGTAAGAATGGGCAACGGATGCCCTGCTGTTCCAAAAATAACAGCACACTGTACTGTTCCACAAGACGGCAACGTTTTGTGGGTTGTGGCACCAGAAATTGTAATCCTTTTGTCCACAGGTCAAAATTAAAAGTTTTTCTGGTGAAAACTTTGCATTGAAAAAATATATGGTTCAAGTTTATATCAAAATTTTCTTTTTGAATTTAATTATAATATTAAAAAAATATTTTTTAAATATAATATTTCATTTTGATAAAAATATGTGGGGACATATAACATTTTTATATTTTACAATTCATATTTAATCTGTTAAAAATTAAAAATTATATCTGATCCGCATAATTTTGCCAAATGAAAAGTGAAGGTATTTTTTTTCATTAGAAAAGATAAAATATTGTATTAAAAAATAATTTTTTGGTACAATAATTAATTAAAAAAATAAAATTTGTATACCATAATTGAATATAAACTTTAATCGTTTGTTTTTCCCAATGCAGAGTTTTTATTCAGTTTTGATCGGTGGGCAGGGGACAGCTCACAAATCATTGTCTGTCTTGTTTCACAGTGTGTTGTTCTTTTGGAATGGCATAGGATCCTCTATTGTAAGAATGAAATATCACAATAGCATTAAATATTTATTCTTGTGCTTTTATATTGGGATTTTATTTTCAAATTTTCGTGCGATAATGAATTTTGGGTTTTTCTTTTGCTGGTGAATTTTGTAAATTCATGGTCTAATTGTATTTTCCTCTTTTTTTCGAGCATTAAAATTGCTTTGAGCTAAATTTGCAAAGGGCGAGATTGATTTATGTGATAAACAAAATTAGGGGTAGTAATTTCCAGCAACCAACTCAATTAATTAATTAGTATTGAAATAAAAGACTAAATAAAAAAGTTAGTTAGGCACCGGATCATGAACTAAGGTAAAATTCTAACTTTATTCAAAACATTTAAATTTCAAATGTGAAATATCTAGTTTGTGTCATAGTTATTAACTTGGAAAGACAGTTTATCACCACAATATCACCATAGTCAAGCAGCAAACTTAGTTATTTCTGTGAATTAAACTTTACTTGATAATCACATAAGTGTCAGGGACGACTTTAAACGACTACGGCTTACCACTAGACCACTTGTTCGGATGGATGGTAAGTTATACTTTTGTACAAAGAAGACTTAAGAAAAAAAATGACTTGTAACAACATTTTTTTTTTCGGAAAATGACTTGAAACAACAATGGTGCTTAGTATTGTAATATGTAACCTGCTAAAAAATAAAAAAGGGTTAGTATATTCGTGAAATGCAATCTCTCACTTGAAATGCAATGTTTACCATTAGAGGGAAATGCATTTTGAATTAATTAGCAACGAGTGGGGTAACGGTTGAAAGCTATTGATTCCTTCACCACTTAAAAAGAAAGATTAAATTACATATATGACCCTCAAACTATGACAAATTTGTCAATTAATTTTTTTTTTTTTATTTTTTTTTTGTCAATTGAACCCTTAAACTCACTAATTGTGCTAATTGAGTCAAAACTCACTAATTGTGCTAATTGAGTCATTTTGTCTGCCTCCATTAGATTTTTTAACGAATAGTGACTAAATATGTCATTCATGCAAATAAATGAGTCGTAGTCCTGTCACGTAAGTGACACATTCTGTCACTTTTCAAGGAAGGTAAACGGAATGGGCTCAATTAACACCCAAAAAAAAATTTAGAAACTTAATTATAAAGGTTTTGAGGATTATATGTATAATTTACTCAAATAAAATTGAGGGAATAAGACTCCAAAAGATGAAAAAGACAAGAACCTGATTACAAGTTAGAGGAGATAACAGATAAGCCTACTTTTTGCCGCCCTTGCCGCAAATTACCTAATTGAGATCGAGAGATGCATCTACATGCTTCCGGACTAAAGATAATACGATATTAAAAAATTATATTTTTTTTGGAGTTAAATTGAATTATTATTATTTTTATTTTGATCGAATTACAGTTGAATGGGGTTAAATAACGACGAAAAAGTTAAGATCAGTTCTAAAATGTTAAAATTGATCGAAACATTCAACAAGAATATTAACTAACCTTATTACTAACCCAATTGTATGTTGTAATTATTTTTCTATGAATTAGGGATTTTTCATAGAATATATGTTTAATTAGGTTTTTTAAAATTATGATAAAAAAGATAATATTACATGAATTTTATTTAGTGAGTTTATTTGACGACCTTATCATTTTTTGTTATTAGACAGACAGTGGACCCTATTATTAGTTGGGACCCACTATCAATTCTATAATTATGATCCACCATGATAATAAGATTACTAAATTTGGTACAAAAAATATTCTTTTTTTTCTTTATAAAATTTTATTGTGTGAGATTAATGAATTAAATTTTTGAGGCCAAAATTAGTCTTAGAGTGTTTTTTTGTTGGTTTAGGCCTTTATATGGGTCTTTCTCAATGGGTTAAAATTGACTTAACTATATTTATTGACTTTTTAAATTTTAAGGTCTTTTTTATTGGTGGGACCTAAAGTCACCGCTTCATTTTCTCTCATGTTGGGCAGGCCCCACATTTTCCAACTAGCAACATGATTAGGGGGGAAAAAAAGTAGAATTGTGGTGTTCAATAGTTCATTGTGTATAAGCTTGAGTTATCTTTTAATTGTTCTAAATCAATTGGACATAAATGCTTTTGGAAGACACAACCCCTTGCATGTGAAATATGATGTGCCTTCAATTTGTTAATTTGTATGGAACTTGGCACTGCAATTCGATAGAAAACATGTTTGTACTTGCAACCAACCTAATCAAGCATTTAAAGGCATGTTGTGATGGTTAACCTAGATGTCTCGGTATCTTGTTATCATGTGTATCTTGATATCATACATGTTGTGATGATCAGGCTAGATATGCCGTTGTTGGTACATTTTAATATTAATATATAATTTATTGTACTAATGTGGATTCATTCATCTATATGAATACATTGTATATACATGAATCTATTGATATATGTATCATACTTGTTTTTATGCATAAATTATATTTATGGGATGAATGTATAATGTAAATATATATGAACATGAATTTGATGCACACATGTATCTCTTAGTCACTTTTATATATGAACCATATTTATTAGATGTATGTATAAATTATGGTCATGAACTTTACCCATGTACATTCATCTATGACTTATATGTATGAATTGATTATTATTACATACATGTATAATTATATACATGTATGACTTGGATAAATGAACTCTAGAAAGTTCTAAGAATCTATAAATAGAACCTCTAAGATGGGCACTTCAAGATACCGATAGAACTTCATCTAACACATTACAAACATGTCATAACATACAACATATACTTGAGAATTTAGACAAAAAAAAAGTGTTTCACTGATGAAACATTAGACTTAATCACTTGTGCAAAGTTGGTTAGTTTCATATGACGAAATTATTGGGTTGTTATATACAGGAGGGAACAAGTCAAATGAGAAGATCTATTGCATCGAATTTGGACTTTACTATCCATAGAGGGCTTGAATCGCCTTAAAGAGACAAAGATACTGTTTTTTTAAAATAAATTTTTTCATATCAAGTTTTATTATTTTATATTTTACTTTATTAATATATACAATTACACCAACAATTTTAAGGAGATTAAAAAATAGATTTTATACTTGAGAAACCTATACACTACATTGGAGATTTCAATAAGTCCTTATAACTGGTGGGAGCCCAAATGGAGAGAATTCTAAGAGACCTTACTAAACAAACAAAAAGAGATGTTTCTAGATTCATTAAATGCACTTGTTCACCTAGAGAATGAGGTAAAAAGTAAAGATGCATTTGTGATTTCAAGAGAGTAATGATATCACCATTTAGGTAGGCTTTTTCTACTTAATTTTCTAATAAATAATAATAATAGAAGAGCAATGCTACATAAATTTAAAAAATAGACTTAAAAAATAGATTTGATAATCTCAACTATTAATTTTACTGTGAGTCCCAGTATTTATTAGACTCACTACCTATTCATTGGTGAGGTTAAAATGTAGTTTTGTGCTTGTGGACAAGGGTTATGCAACTAGTTTTATGTTTAAATTGAGCATTGAAAATAATGAACCATGTGTCAATTATGTTTAGTTGCTTTCTTATGTGAATTTTGAGTAATGCTAGATGAACTTAAAAATTAAATTTGACAATCTCAACCATTGAATAAGTAATGAGTCCCAATAAATACTGGAACTCACAGTGAAATCAATGGTTAAGATTATCAAGTCTATTTTTTAAATCCATCTAGCATTGCTCGTGAATTTTTGAAATGCTCATTTATGTCATATCAATAATAGATACATTTGACATAATGAGTAACTTAAGATTAATTTCAAGATTGACAAATAATTTTGAAAAATGTGAAACTTGAGTAAAACAAAAATACATACTTCATGAGAAATGACCTATCAATTGTCTTTGAAACAATGAGAGATTCATTATGAGAGACTATGCTCCTATCATGTTGATTATGCTGGTTAGGTGAAGGATAATAGGCAGAGAGGCCTTAGATTAGTATCGCAATATCATAGTTATTAGTAACTTGAACCCTGTCACATAAAAGTAGACTTACTTTCTTCAAGATATGAAACGAGCAATCAGAAATGATTGTACCTATTTTTTCTTTAATTTTAGATGGAATCATCAACAGGGCCTTAGACACATTTTTTTGTATTAAGGCCTCACAATCGTGTACAGTGAGTGTACTAGCTTATGCTTTAGTGTAAGATAATAAATGATAGAGTGATAAAGCACGACAACAAATCATGATCCGTGTTGTCGGTCCGAAATAATTGGGACAAACCATAACTGAATTGAGTAGAGTTGTATAGTCTCCTAAAAACCTTACTTGATTTAGCCATTAATTAACCAAAGTTCTGGAAAAAAAAATTTAGGTAATGAGTGATTGAAATAGTAGATAAACAAAAGAATGGTTGAATTAGGAGACAATTGAAAGGTATTGATTCCTTCACCACCGAAATAAAAATGAGGGAATAAGATGCAAATTACCTAATCATGCATGTAACTAGGCTGTCAATACTTCGGAATCGAATTCGAATCTAATTAGTCGGATATGAATTTATATTTTTTACTGATAATCTGAACTCAAATCCGAATTCGATATTTTATATTGCAACACTTTTGATACATTGAATGTACAATATGAAAAATTTAATCTTTGATATTATAAAATAAAAATCTAAAAATCTTTCAAGGTACAAAATACAATTCACCCTCATATATAAATCCTATGCAAATATGTACATTGGTTGATCAATACTTCGGAATCGGATTCGAATCTAATTAGTCAGATATGAATTTATATTTTTTTTTACTGATAATCTGAATTCAAATCCAAATCCGATATTTTATATTGTAACACTTTTGATACATCGAAGGTACAATATGAAAAATTTAATCTTTAAGAGTATAAAATGAAAATCTTAAAATCTTTGAGGGTACAAAATACAATTCACCCTTACATATAAATCCTATGCAAATATGTACATTGGTTGATCGGATCTCAGGATACAAAGACAATTTCAATCTACACCTATACTTAATAACTGCAAAATTCCACAACATGAAACCGATTCAAGCTTTTGTAGAACTTCAATAAGAGCCTTTGTGCCATCCACTAGAGTTGAAGCTCTTGAAAGGAGGAAAATCATCTTCCTCGATGAGAAAATGACCCATAACTATTATGTGCAACAAAGAAAGATTCCTTACGGGTGTCAGTGTTTCTATCATGTTGATTATGTTGGTTGGGTGATCTGGTCAAGGGAGAATAGGCAAGACGCCTTATCCCTAGCAACTCAGGGTCAGGTTGATACTTAAATGGTAGCTTGCTATCATCCATTTTCCGAAAGGTGACGGAAATCCTGCACCAAATCAAAACAATGACAAAGATATGGTTAATTTTTATCCAGGGATTTTCTTCTTTTCCCTCGAGTTGTTTTCTCGTTTACAAATACCTTTTTCTGGGGACACCAGGCACACAATGTTTAGCTACATCAGCACCATTACCTTTTAGAACGAGCACTGATCTGCAAGACGAAAGGGAAATGTATCAAAAGTGAATGAGGGAAAGGACAGTGGGCTAAAGTTAGAACAACCAAATATAAGAGATTCACATATGCAATTTGTTAAACAATTAAAAACAATAACCAGAATCCAAGAAAGAAAGGAAGACACAATTCTTAATGTAAAAAAATAAACAATGTCCCATATTGTGATAACATGGCTTCATTCACTCGAACCTTTCTCCTCAGAATAACCCACTTTTTGTCTAAAAGTAACTGGTGAAAAATTTTACATCCAAATTGCATTGTTTCTTAATGGATAAGTACATATTCTGATACTCGGATAACATATTCCCACAAACACGACATCACAGACCTCTAACACTCCGGCCCAAACACTATTCCGATTTGTGAGCCACCAAGGCTACTGCAAATTGAGTATGCCTTAGACAGCCTTTTCCTCACACTTAGCCTCCTGAACACTTGATATGCCAGAGAGTTATAATAATCACGTATATATCCAACGGTTGGGAAGCTCCGAAATCTTAAAACAATCACTGCATTCCCACTTGGAGCTGACCGAAAACAGTTCCAAAGAAAAACCACCTATGTATCAACATTACAATGAATAGAATACCCAACTAGATGTTCTATTGTTCTGTGTTTGTAGCAGTAGATTACAGCAGTCCAGAGGATTAATCTTAATTTAAGTCACTTGATCTAAGCCAAAATGTTTCCTAATTTGCTGCAGAAGAGGTGTACAAGTTCTATGCAAGGAGAATGTCAAGCAATCAAGACTAACATAATCTATCATTGGTGTTTGAATATTTCACCAGGCAAATAAAAATGGTATAAAATGTCACCGATGTGTGGATATTTTATCTAGGAATGTGCATGTACAGAAATAGTAATACTCTTTCCAGCAAAGACTGACAATTTTTCTTCATTAAATGTCTAATGTTTCTAATATTGTAATTCACCTCATTAAAATGATTGCTTTCACCTTCCATGATGTTCCTTGTTTTAATCTAATTAAAAATGTTCCTAAATGCAGACTTCAAAGATCGGCACACCAATGAATACTAATCTTGAATGGGAAAGACATGGATGCATTCATTAATATCTCAGTTATACTAGTTTTGTTATTACACTAGTTTTCCGCAGTTGTGGATCAGAAAATGTAAAAGAGTAAATAGTAAACTAGTGAGAGAGGAGATTCTGTTTGCATACCCAACCGGCAAACATATAGGGAGAGGACCTGCAAATTCCCCTGGACTAACAATCTTCAGATCAGTTCCAAAAAGTATGTTGCACTCACTTAAGAATGACACAGTGCAGAATGGTCGAAGGAAGTCATGATGGTCAATGTGAGGAGGAATGCAATCGCCTTCATCATATATTTTTACTATGCAACTGTCAGGGACACATGTTGGAGGTAGAACATGCCACCTGATCATCCTCTTGATCATTTGCATGAACAAAGGAGGGAGGGGGTTAACTTGTTCATTTCTGATGATGCCTGGAGGATTCCCATTTTTGTCCTGTAAAAGAAAGAATTAATGAACCAAATACAATTGAAGAGGAATAATGTCAACAGTATAAAAGTGCGAAGGATCAAAATCTTACCACTGCATAATTGTAACAGCATCCAAACTGTATAGTGACGCGCCCTTTACCGCGCATCCACTTCCTTGGTTCAGAATATGTCCGTGCTGCAAAGTGTTTAAAAGATAAGACAACAAAAAAAATACTACTTTCATATTTCGATCAGTTATCAAACAAAACAAATATCATAATGTAGCATATGTGATTTCCATTGACTAGCAATCCAATTAGAAAAATCCTTAAAAATAGAATGATTAAATGGACAATTCTGAAGACGCATATGAAAAGAAACCTATATATCAACCAGAAATATTCCACACCCATAACTTCGAGTGTCATTAAAATCATCGTTTTCCATACAAGGCCCCTTTTTTTTGAATAACATATTGTATGACTGTAAATTTTGAATAGTGTAAAGCATTGAAACTTATCTTGCATACACATTTCAAATCTTAAGTGCCAAAAGGAGCCAAAACAAGTTAAATGTGGAAGTACACATTCACAATTTGATTCTTTCCAGTCTCTTTGGCACATAAGATATCATCATTGAAGTAAATGACTTTACAACAAGGGGAAAAAAAGTAACTGCAAATATGGTTGTGCCATTTGTAGGAATTGTTTCAGCCTACAGTTGAAAAATGCAATAGTATCTCAAATTAAATGAAGACGTTTTGTGGGTCCCAATAAAATTGATAATTTTATTGAATAAATGAATTATTCGGATGTGACTAGTAGCACAGTAAGTAGCCATCACTATAACCATGAATTGACTGGTCTCTTGCCATATCATAGTTAATGCCACTAATCTCAGCCAGCCTTAAAGAAACATATTAAGCCATCTAAGTCATGTTGAAGAATGTGTATTACTTTGATTTCCTGTGACATTGAAAACTGTATAACTTAAGTCAAAACACTTGTAGTATTTGACAGATCATGTACATTTTATGGTAGTTTAACAGGTCTTAAACTTAATGTCTGGAGGGGACACACAATGCACGGAGGCAGGGTGATAATGTAGACTTTGTTAAGGAATATCATGCAACAAATAAGAGCAGTCTGTTTACGATTCTCACCAATCTTTGCTAGAATTCTCTGCCTATGCATTTTCACATTTTTCATTATGTTCTGATTTTAGTCATCGTATCATATACATCATATCGTAGATGCAAGGAAATACTTAAGCAGAAGGTATTAGAAATAGAATATTCACCTCTAAGCCACCCCTTTTGCCCCCTATGCTGTAAATCGTAAACAAACTCAACGATCTTCTTCTGCTCCTCAGTGTCAAAAACTCGAGTGTGAAGCTCAAGTCCTTTAAGCACATTTTCAAACTTCCCGTTGATCCGCTCAAGATTAATAAAATCCTTGTTCCTCTCAACTTGTGAAAACCTGCTTTGCTCCTCTTCCTCTGCTATACCTCCACCATTAAGAGATAGGTCACCACCTGAGCGACTGATCGATGACTTTTTGCTGTTTACTGAGCCAGGTGATGAACTATCAACAAATCCTTTCCGCTTACCTAAGTAAACAGATTTCGGGGTTCGTGTGGAGCCCCATGAAGGGTTGTTAATCGTAGATGAATGTGTAGACCTGAATTTGGAGAAAGTTTTTGCACTGTTGCGGTTTGACATCGACATTTTACTAAGTTTTCCTGTAAAATTGAAAGGAAACAGAATTCAGATACACGTTGTTGCCTCCAAATTGGTAATTTGAATAAGAAGGCGAAATAAATGTACCAATACCAATTAATACAAATTATTCTTTCTTACGAGTATTGTATGGAATAGAACAACCATTTTCTTTTCGGGAAAAGAAATCAAAAATCGCCTTCTTATTTTTTCTATTTCTACTAATCTTTTGTGCAGTAGGTCATAGTGGTTGAAGTAGATTTCTCCTTCACCTATCTACAGTTATATGAAAAATAAGATCCTCTAGAGACTAAATAGTAAAGAACAATTTGTTTTGAACAATAGTTTTTTTGTTAGCATGTATTTTCATGTCAAAAAGTTATTCTTAGCCTCCATTATTTACCTACAAAGTTCTCTTGCAAAGAGAACAGAAGAAAGATGTTAAAGAGTAAGCCTATTTTCCTTCTTCTTGTTCAATTTTAGATAAACCACAAAATGAAAACTGCAACTAACTATGGCTCTCGGCCTAGACAATAACGTCCTAGGCGTAGGAGAGATCGGAGCAACAGGGAACGCCTAGACTACATTTTTCTTCCTCGGCTGTAGTAAGTAAATCAAGAGGTCATTCCGCCCCTTTACCCAAAAATGAAGTCAACCATAGTTAAAGTCAATGTCAGAATCCTAATCTGACACCCACATTATAATCTGTCTGAATAAAAGAGTAGATAGGAAAAACAATAAAAAAAAAAATCAAAACCCCAACAGAATTTAATCATTTAAAAAAAAATCAATATATATATCTGCATAAACATGTGCATTGAATGCACAGAAAGATCAAACGAACACATCCATGAGCCTTATTACAAGTCAACTGAGCAGTCTATATCTTGGGATAATTGAGAGAGGAGAGTGAAAAAAGTGGGAGTTTTACCATTGATAAGGCTCTGTACACGAGTCTGCAAAACAGCCTCACAGTGCTGACAAAACCCTTCAGATAAAACCTTTAAAATCTCTTTGCGGCCTAAACTCTGGAGCATTGCCATGCAGTCCTCTCCTTCGCCGGTAAACTCTCCGGTCATCTTGCTTGTTGCACACCTAAGCAAGAATATGTATTTTCCAGCCGATCAATAGAAAAAGTATATGGTCTATTCCCAGAGAGAGAGAGAGAATGGAATTCAAAAGCAAGCAGGACAATGGGAAAGCATATGTTTTTTTCCAGAGAAAGAGAGAGAGTGGAATTAAAAAACAAGCAGAAAATGAAAAAGTATATGGTTTTTTCCAAAGAGAAAGAGGATGGAAATCAGAAACAGAGGTCAATGAGAAGTCAACGAGAAGACTCAACCAATAGATAGAAGAAAAAACTAAACCCAACTGATAACAGAACTGGTAAAAATACAAACCCTGTTCTGAATTTGAATTCTATCTCCTAATGCGAGAGACTATTCAGCTTGAATGACCTATATCTCCGCCTAGATTAATCAAAATGAGTGTAAACTACAATTAAAAAAAAAAAAATAGGAAAGGAGATCATAGTTTCCTATTTTTTGTCAAAAGAATCTGAGATGAGTGAATCTAGTGCTCCGGTATGATGAAAAAAAATGAAAGGGTGGAAAATTGGAAACAAATAAAATATCATGTTTTGTAAAAAAAGAAAATAAAAAAGATGAAAAAATAGATGAATTAATTTTACTTCCAACAAACTAAAATCAATCCTTCTAAAATTAGAAAGAAAGTGGATGAAAAATTAATTATTTGTGTTAAGATGTATCTTATTTGTCTATATATTATGTATATATATATATATATATATATATATATATATATATATATTTAAAAAAATAAATTTTAAAAATTTAAATTAAAAAAAATATTTTTTTATCTTAACTAGGGATGAGAATTTTCGACTCAACACGACGACACAACTCAAACTTGACACGAATTTTAAGACACAAATTTGAAAATGACCTGACACACGCAAACAAAAAATATAAAAGACTCAGTATTTTATGACTCAACACGAATTTGACACCCCTAATCTTAGCTAACACAAAAAAAATATTAGTCATTTTTATTTTTCATCCATCTACCAAATACAAAAAAAAATATATATATCATTCATATTTTTAAGAATAGAAAGTGTATGCTTCCACGGAGCATAGGAGTTAACCAACTGTAGGAGGAAGCGCAGGTATTATGTTGCTTCCTAAAACCAGTCGCCCTTTTTTATTCAAAAAAGTAAATTACACTGTTTACCCCTAAATATTATCCCAATTTTAATTTTGTTCCCAACATTTTAATTTTGAGAACTTGGTCCCCATTTTGTCAGTATTGCTTCAATTCCAGTCCCATAGGGGGCAGGAAATTGGACCGAAATTCACGTCCATATCATGAGATTGGGACTACAATCCTCTCTAATACTACATGTTTTTTTTTTTGAATAATGCTACATGTACTTAAAAATTAGATTTAATAATCACAATCATTGAACAGGTAGTGAATCTAATAAATGCTATGATTCACAATAAAATCAATGGTTGTAATTATCAAGTATATTTTTTAAGTTCATGTAACATTGATTTTTTTCTTTTTTTTTTTAATTTCCGAGCTAACTTATACACACCTCGACTAATTTTATACTCATCCCGTCCAGAGGTAGACCATCCATGACACTAGGAAAATCCATAATACTACATATGTTGCCAATTGTAAATCACACACAATACACTAGTAAGCAGGGATGAAGCTACCCTGAGGGATTGCTCCCACTGAATTTTGAGATATTTTTGCCCATGTAATGTTCTGAACCACATAAATTTATTTAATTTTATACATTTTCCCCCCTTAATTTTTTTTTAAATGTATATAGTGGTTGTAGTCTTTTTTTTTTAATAATTAATTTGTGGTCCATTGCCGCATAAAATAACTAGTTTATTTTGAAATTGAGTACAATAATAAATATGAAATATTCTAACCTATTTATATATTGATCAAAGACATCCTATCTAACAAACTACCCACTTGATCTACCCAAAAAAAAAAAAAATTCTCTCTATATTCCTAGCTTGTGACCAAATAATACAAAATTAGACACAAAAGGTAAAAGGCTCTTAATCAAAAAAATTTCATACTCTTTCTTAAAATGAATTTCTCTCAACAAGATAAAGGGTGATCTCAACTAAGATTCACAAAAAAATAAAAATAATATTGTCAGAAGTCTGTGATCGCATACATTAAAAATAAATTATGTGCAGAATTTAGTTATAAACAATTTTTGAAATTTAAAAAAACATCGAGTTTCATCATGAAAATTGGTTTTACTATTACATATAGTACTCTCATCTTTAATCTAAATATGTTTTATCGTGCTTGAGCTATTTTTTTTCTTATTTTTTTGTTATCCATTATAATTTTTTTGGATCACAATTTGCCCCCTCTAGAATAGGATCTCCTGGATCCACCCTTTGCATGTCCATTTATCTTATTTTGTTGGTTACTAAATAAGGCATGAATTTTTGGCTGATTTCCCAACTGGGTTTTGTAATAAGTACTAGATTTGGGTCTTTTCATTTGAGCTCATTTGGCAAGTAGCATAGATTTGACAACGAAGTTGGTGCTCATAGTGATTAACATTTCACCGGTGTGCAGAATTAAGTTTCCATGGCACGAAAAGTTGTGGAAAAAGGTACTTACCGTACTTTGGCATGAAAGTAGTCCCTATTAATGTTGGCGATGCCTAAATCTTTTTTTTGAGTTTTAACATGTTTCTATTTGTTTTTAACTGGCTTACTTGCATTTTATGAGCATTGTAGGCAATCAATGGTATATATATTGCTGCTAAAGTGAGTGATTGTTGCAAGAAAATCGACATGGGTGGAGATACAATTGAGATCTTGCTAGTTTAAGTCAATAAAGAATTTATTTATTTTTTTGGTTGCAATTACAATATCTGTAATGAATGAAATTGTGTGATCAAGAATATGCACATAGATTTTCTACAAATCTCGTTATGGCGGGAATTTCGTGCGCTTAATCACCGTGCAAAAAGATCCTCGGTGACAATTGAGTGTCAATGGTAAGCAAAATATGGAATCTCTGGAGGATACAGATGAATTCTATGTGACCAAGCATTCCTTATGTTCTGATTAGGTTCTGAAATGCATTTCCAAATTGCATTGTTACCTTTGAAACCACTACCCAATGCGATTTGCCAAACACGGTCTCCCTTCTTTATCCTCCCTTCCTTGCTGAGTCTCAGCTTCTTCTCCACAGCATCAATGACTGCCCTTCCACCAGCATGCATGCAGAAATGTCTAAAAGCTTTTGTGTGGGATGATTTTAGCACAATGAACGAGATGACAGATCTCTTCTTTGGTGAGCTCGAGTTTGCCAAGAAAGTCGAGTGTCACACATCAAGTGGTTATTGAGGAAACATAATAAACGGTGATGGAACTCTCTACAAACGATCTACTCATACGTAAGTTTTCGAACAGAGTCCTGTCACTCAAAGAAGAAGAGCTAGAGGGCGTCTGAGTATTTTTCGGTGTGACCCCTCCGACGATCAAGTCAGTATTTGAGAGAGGGTTTGAAAACACTATTCTATTGCTTGGGTAAGGGGTTGTATACCTGAGCCTTAATTTTGAGTGTGTTATTTATATCTTTCAGGAGCTAATCATTGTAGACATATGGGTCCCTTGGAGGGAAAACAACTGATTGGTTCATTTGGAGGGCAACGTCTGATATACAAACCTTGATTAGAGTGTTTGCCCATTCCTGCAACAAAAGCTTCTGCAGATCAATACTCAGATCCTTGAGCACTTAATTCTCACTTCTCTGACTTCATTGAGCAATAAATACGTCACACCCTCCTATAGGATCATTTAATGCGCACGCGCAAGGACATTTTCGTGAATCACCCTATAAAGGGCTAGGAATTAAATGTTTTGTACTTTGTACATCTTTATTATTGGTTACTGAATTGTCTTCACAACCATTCTAATTGCCTTAGGAGGGGGATTGATAATTAATAGCCAACCCCATTCCCAAGTCATGATGCTCTATTTTGCCTCGATTACAGGTATGTTTGCATCAACTGACCTTCTCCTTTTTCCATAAGAGTCTAACCTCATCATTTGGCAGGGGCTAACAGTCAAGGCAACTTCTCACATTACACCAATGTGGATGGCTTGATGCCAAGGCCTTGAAGATGGTGACAAGGAAAGGGAACATTTTGAACTATCTTGTGCCGAGGACACGTGTCGCTGAGGCAACACTCTGCAACCAATCATGCCGAGGACACGTGTCACTCAAGGGATGCTCCGAGGGCATACATGCTAAGGACATGTGTCATCAGGGGACACTCCAAAGGCATACTTGCTGAGGACATGTGTCACTCAAGGGACGCTCTGAATGCTTACATGCCGAGGACACGTTTCATTCAGGGAACACTTCGAGGCCAAAAATGTTGAGGACACGTGTCACTGCCCCATAAAACTATGAAAAACATCCCATCAAATGCCCCCAGCCCATGCTCTGCGTATGAAACTGTTTGATGTGGTGGAGGAAGATGAAAGGGCTTGATCTTTGAGTCTTTTTAGAAGTTGTGCACTAGAGTGAATTGTTGATTGTTCTTTCTTGTGTCAAGAGCACGTGTCCTTATAGTGGGGAGACCAATTTCCAACGGGCTAACTACTTCTACTCCGTAAGGGAGTGCATAAGGTGTCTCACCCGTCGAGGTGCGCAGAGTTATCCTGTAGGACCAGAGGATGTTCAAGGGCTCCTTAACCCATTTTCCCTAAACTTTCTCCAGCCTCTTCTTAATTTTGTTAACCATAGTCTTGTTGAAAGACTTTGCTTGCCCGTTGGCTTGAGGGTGTAAAGGCGTAAAGTAGTAGTTTTAGATTCTCAGATGCTAATAAAAAGATTTGAAAGGCCCGCTGTTAAAATGAGTCCCATTGTCCGATACAAGCGCACGGGGATCTTGAATCTCATCACTATGTTCTTTCATACGAATCTTTTGATGTCCATGTCCTGATGTGCATTAATGGCTCGATTTTGATCCATTTTGTGGAGTAATCAGTCCTGACTATTTAGAACTTCTTATTCTCGAAGGCCTTTTTGGGAGGGGTCTGACAAAGTCGAGTCCCCATTGGGAGAACGGCCAATAACTGGTCAGTGGGTGCAAATCTCCCGCAGTTGCTTGATGGTGGGAGCTAAACTTTGACATTGGTTGCATTTTCATTCATAAGCTTATGCATCCCTCTACATTTGTGGCCACCAATACGCTTGCGACATGATCCGATGAGCCATGGATCTTCCGCTCGAGTACCCCCACATATGCCTTCATGCACTTCATATAGGAGATGCTCGACTTTATCTTCACCGACACAAAGCAAATAAGGCCTTGAAAAGGACTTCTGGTACAACTTTTGATCTAGGGAGGTCCAAAACCTTGGCA